CTCTCTCTCTCTTTCTGTCTCTCTCTCTCTCTTTCCCTTTCTGAAATCAATAATTAAATCAATGTCTAAAGTGGAAGCAGAAAGGGAACAGGCCATCACAGAACATGTATTCAGTAGTCACTGCTTTAACTAGCGTAGGGAGACATAGCAATGGGCAATGGGGACTGAGAGAACCAGCTGGCAGACAGGTGGGAAGACGTTGCTGGGTCTAAGACAGAAACCCCAGAGCAGTGACTGCAGCCACTGGCTTCGCTGGCACCCCGGGAGGGAGGGAGGGAGTCACCCACAGAGGAGGCTGCCCGTAGGTTCTAACCTTGATTCACACGGTGTGTCACCTGCACGCAGTTCATTCTATAGCTCGTTTTACTTTCTCTCAAGCAATCCATCACTGTGTTTTTAAAGTCTCACTGTTATGATGATTCAAAACAAAAACATAAACCTTCAGCTAGAGCTAAGCAAAAATTCTGAACCTCATACCCAGATCAGGCTGTCAGCAAAGGAGAATGAACAGACAAATACCATGGTTAGACCTGCTTTAGATTTCAGGCACTGAATCCCGTACCTACAGAACCGAGGGGTGTGAACGCCGCTCACACACAGGGCTGTACCCAGCAGTCATGAGTGCGCATGGAACTGCCTTCCTCAGGTGGCGGGTCTTCTGAGATAAAATCAAGCCCACATTGAACAATGAGTCATCCTGGGGCCTTAAGCCTTGCACTCAAAACTGTTGGCTTCCATGTCAGAAATGCTGCCTTCCAGTGCAATTAGCAAACCTAATCACTCACATTCACACTCTCAAGAGGTCCTGATTGGCAGTTAACAGCCTGAATATTCACAATCAAAATCAATGGAATTAATGCCACTATTTTTAAAACATGAAAAGATACTGTACAGAAAAACAACAAGCCTCCGACTTGTGAACCTTGGTCAAAGAAAGAAGAGAAATAAAAGCCAAGAATCAAGTATTTATTATAAATGAATGATTAGAAAGAGTTATTCTGAAATCCCAGCAAGGCTGTCTTAGGTCCTTGTTATTCTAAATAGAGTCTGTGTTCCAGATCATCTTAGAGGGAAAACGTCACTCAAATAAAGAAGGCTCTTTTACATGAAACGTGTTTAACTGGCAACATATAATTTCATTTTAAAAAGAATTAGGAGCAATTGCTGCTGAAGCCGTTTTGGGGAGATGGGGAGGGGATGATCTGTCAACACTATGGGAACAGAAAGTGATGGGCCACCAAGCTTTGTTCCAACCGCTTGCTTCACAGTTCAGTTTAATTACACATTGCATGCTGTCCTGTAATTATGTCGCTGTGGAAACTGCCAATTTCCCCTCTTGGGATGTTAAAAGTTCCCTGATTTACTTTAAAGACTCAACACTGCCTCCATCAGCACCAACCTTAGTGGAAGTAGGGTATTTGGCTCCTGTTCCCTTAAAATGCAGGCGGCTGGACAGTGAGAGGTCCCTTGCCTGGTCTGACATACAGTTCTGGGGCCCACTGTGAGTGGAGCCCCCAGAACACTGGTCCAAGATATTTAGAAACTAAAGTCCTTTTTTCTTAGCCAGAGAATAAACACAGAATACAAGATGAAGCACCTCGCCCTCCAGAAATCCACGCCAAGAATGGAAAGACAGCAAACACTGAGCAAATGCATATGAAACCCCTGGGAGATAGAACCCAAACCAAGAAAGACTTGATGAACTGGGAAAGGCAAAAGGCAGGTAAATGATTGAGCACCTACTGTGTGCATCCAGAATTTTACAGAGGTCCCTGCAGACCACCCGTATCAGTGACCATTAACTCAAGTCCCTCAAGTACCAGGCAGACAAGAAAGCAGCAAGCAGACAGACAGAATATAATAGGGAATTCTGGCACCTGGTTATTTGGAGAGAGAAAGAGAGAGCAAGCCCTGCCTACAGGCAAGTCAATCGTCTTCTCATTAAAAAGACTGCCAGTTGGGCAAAACACACCCACAGGACTGGTTTGAACTACAGCTGCAATCCCTGGATGAATCTGCAAACCCCTAGGAGGCATCGGCTCTGAACACTGGGCGCAGACTCCTCGGTTTTAAAGTCGGCTCTGGCACTCCCTTAGCTGTGTGGTCCTGGGCAAACCTCCTAACCTCTGTGTGTGTCAGCTCCCTCACCTGTAAAATGGAAATACCAGCAGGGCTGACTTCGTAGGGGTGCTGTGAGAATGTATTCAAAGTGTTTAGTATAGCTTTTACTGCATAGCAAGTTCTGGGCTTGCTATTCATTATGTTTACAGCAAGGAGAGAAAAGGTAAAAAGTTTCCCCAAATGGCTTTGAACGTGGGGTAGACCCTAATGCACAGAAAGACCTTCATGCTTGAAGAGGGTACAAAGGTGACCTCACCTTCCCATCTCTGGAAGCACTGAAGGGAAGACTACTAACAATTCATGGTAAGTACTCAAAATATCCAAAGGCCTCAAGGATGGTAGCTTCTCTCATACGGGTCATCCCATAGCATTTCTCCTCATTACTGCACCAAAATTCAGACTTCCCTGGCCCTTTGGTGAACTGGGGTCATTCCAATATTTTTCTCAAACATTTTTTTAAAAAATAATGTTTACTAAGTATACATCACAAGGAGGGGGAATAAAGTTAAAGGTTTAGTGTAAACATACTTTAAATTTTTAAACTTTCAATAAAATAGCTATCATGAAAGAACTTGGAAAAAAAAACAATTCTTAGTTACAAATACCCTCTACTTTATTTATACATTATAATTTTTTTCTGATTTGGAATAGTTTTAGGAACATACATGAGCCCTAGCTCAAAAGTGCACAAAACCATTGTAATTAATCTTATTTTTAAAGGAATTCTATGCCTAACCAATAAGCAGCAGTGCATGTGGACAAAAGGGCCACGTTTCCTTTAGAAATCGGTTTTTCACTGAAGTCCCTCCTGGAGGGAAGTGCTGAAGGGCTCCATCACACTCAGCTCACTCACAGTGCTTAAGAGCGCGCGCTGAGGAGAACGGGCTGAACGCATGGAGCTCCTTCTCGGGAGACATCCGCTGCTTGTGCAATTAACAACGCATTCGGCATCAGTAAGCTCTAATTTCAGGAACACTCTCCGTCCACAAACATGAATCCTTAATTCCGAATTCAATTTCCACACGGCTCGTTTTCCCACGCAACATTCCGGAGGCTCTACTACACAGTCTCTCAGAAATATTAATTCACTTCTTTGCAAGCAGATTACACTCCTAGAAAACATATCTGCGCAACAAATATACACACATTACAAGCCAAATGAAACTTTTATGAAAAAAAAACAAAACAATTTTCTTCCACGGCTTCACAAATCCAGGCATCACGCTGCATCGTAAACGCCTACAGTGATGTATGTCAATTACTTCTCACTAAGGCAGGGAGAGGAGATGCTTTTCTTAAGGGAGATTGCATTCCTGGCCACCATCTGATCTCCCATCTTTTGGAGAAATGCCTCAAACCCTTTGTCTAATCAAATTACAAATAATGTTCCAGGGGAAGCCGAAGCTCAGCAAGTTGCATCTATGGGAAAACGTGCCTGAGGTTTCTCCTCAGTCCCTTCACCTTCCCCCCAGCCCCCGCAGCGCCCTTCCCTCTGACAGCTGTCAGTCTGTTTTCTGTCAAGTCCGTTGCTATTAAGAAAAGCCCATTTCAAACCAAGTGCCTGCAGTTCCCAGGGTCTGGCGTCCGTGTCAAGGGGCCCTCCTGGGAAGCACGCTTTTCCTGGGGAAGATGTGCCGTGTACTATAGGTTTGGGCCAGCAGCCCCCCGCTGGGCATGGTTCCAGCCAAAGTAACAAGCCCTCACATTTCCAAATGCCCCCAGAAGAACAGTGCTCTCCTGTTGGGTGCAGACCAACGGAGTCGCCCACATTTGCGTCACTAGAGAACCATGGGGCCAGGCCCAAACCCCAGCGTCCCGGGGCCAGGGCGTCCCGGAGCCAGCGCCCCCGGGAGGGACGAAGAGATGCGAGTGACAGACTCTTACCATTCCTCATCTCCACCCCACTCTTCCCGCGCCAGACACCTCCTTCCTCACGCTCTACGCTGAGAGCTAGTCATCCTGGTCACTGCTCACCAGTTCTCGTCCCATTTGTTCACATCCTGCTCCACCTCAGCCTGGGGTGGCTGTACCCCATCCCCACTGAATCTGGGCTCCTCGCCCTGAGGACAGGCGACAGGTGTCGGCACAAGCCCAGGACCTCCAGCGGGACAGCCCCAAAGGGCAGCATCTCTGTCACGGTCCCTGCGCTCTCCTCATCCTCACCTCGTCCTCCCCACACCTGCCCGGCCCATCAGCAGGGGCACCTGCCCTTCTCCTCCACAGCTCCCTGCTGCTCCGGTGCTGGCTCTTGATCTCACTGTGTCTCCAGCAGCGGCCAGAGGTGGTGCCTGAGGGAACCCTGGCCCCTGCTCAGGAGTGTCAGAGTGAGGCCACAGTTCCCATTCTCCCCGGAGCCAGGCCTGGTTTGGTGGAGAGCTCATTTCTGTCCTTGGTACTGAAGCCTAAGAGCTTCTGTCATAATTAGCTATTGAACCACATACACCAGTTTTCCAGTACTACTGTATTTTTTAAATATGATTTTATTATTGGTTTTATTATAGAAAAGAAGGGAGAAGGAGAGAGAGAAACGTCAATGATCAGAGAAAATTTTTGATCGGCTGCCTCCTACAGGCCCCACACTGGGGATTGAGCCTGCGGCCAGGAATGTGCCCTGACCAGGAATCGAACCTGGGACCTTCCGGTTTATAGGGTGATGCTCAACCACTGAGCCACCCCTTGCTGGGCTGTACGATTGCCTTTTTCAATGCCATCACATGAAAAATACTCAGAGGTGGGAAGCCTTTACGGCACTGCCCCTGGTGGGTTTCATTTCATTTTAATTTTCACTTCACTGAGGATGAAAGCCAAGCCTCTGGGGGCGCCTCCATCCCTGTGAGCTTCAGCAGGAAGCCTGTGGCCTCGCGGGGCTGGGAGCTTACCCGGATGTAGGCGTCCTGGTGCTGCTTGGCAAAGTAGAGCATGTTGTCCAGGGCCAGCATCCCCGGGGGCGTCTGGGTGAAGTCCATGGCGGGATTGACATGATTCTGTGATGGAAACACAAGGTTGGATCGGGTTAATGCCTCAGTGGACCCACCAGCCAGCAGAGGTCTGCGGTCCCACCTCAAGACCGAAGCATCACAAGGCCAACTCCAAAGTAACCAGGCAGGAACGCACCCATCTCCATGGAAACCTGCTGGGTAGCAGTGGGAGCTTCTATCTCAGGGGCAGTGACGCCATCTCTTACACCCCGGTTAGGACACTCAGCTGAAGATCCAAGTACAAGATTATCCTCAGATGTAACACTGAGGGACAAAGGAAATACGGAACCACTGTGTGCCTGGGAGCTGTGCAGTGGTGAAGCCAACAGCATTTGGGGGAGAAAGAGCTGGGACGAAGCCACATGTCGGCCATCAGCTATTCACTCTGCACCTTCACTTCCTCATCTGCACACGTGTGCCCACCCGGCCCAGGGACTCTGTGAACGGTCCAGGGTTACACAGCGCGCAGGCCTTGGGCATGGACACCGGATAGAAAGCAGCTGTCCCCGGGGTCCCCTCACCTGCCTGCTCCCGGGGAGTGTGCTGACCTGCGCTCACTGCAGTGTGAGAACCAGGAAGACAAAGCCATTCTCCCAGGTTCAAGGTCACCCACAAGCCTCTTGTCCAAGGAACAAACCACGCCCCACCATTAACCCTCAGACAGGACCACGCCTCCCAGTCCTGAACATGCATATACAGATGGTGAGTGCTTTAAGAGAACTCTTTTTTTTGTTGTTGTTAAATACCTGAAAAAGCAATGTTAAAGAGGCATTAAAAACCCTGCTTTCATCTCAGGACATAGGCAATTTGTGTGAACTACATATTTATGTTTTGTTCCTAAATACTTGTGAATGAGCAGCGTGGCTCTCTGAATTGCCAGGACATTTTGGTTCCCTGTAGTTTTTCTAACGGGTTCATGAAGGACTTCTTGTTCACTTCCTCAAGGTTCAAACAACCCAGGCTCCTGTGCCTTAGTGAGAGAACACGGACGCTGCCTTCCCGTGCTCCGGGAATGTCTGAGAAGGGAATGTGCTGAGCTGCAAACATCTGAAATGCCAGCAGGGCGGCGCTGCCTGCGGCCACGGTCCTGTCAGAGCTTCCTGCCCTCCCTCTCGGTGCCTCAGTGGAGGGACTTGGTTTTCATTCAGCATTTTATCCCAACTCATTTATTCAGATGTTGGAAAGTTTTAAAAACAGCAAAGCACCACTTATAGTAAGAGGGACAGATCTCATAGAATAAATATAATTATATCAAAAACGCACTTCACCGGACACATCAAAGACAGGGGGCTTCAGCTTTCCCCTGATGTTCACGGAGGAAGTAAGGTTTGTGTTCAACAGCGGGGAAATCAAAATGCTGGACATCAGTGATCAGAGATTTCATCTAAAAACAACGTGTGATGAAAGACTGTAATACCCTCAGTCCTCCAGAGAGCAGTGGAAGGTCTGGCACCACACACAAATGTATTGTGATTTGGGAACACTAGACTTTGGTGAACACAAGTAACGTCTTAGGAAATTACTGTGAGCTGAGCCCTTTCGGGTCATCGCGCTGTCATCTCACCCAGCGCTCAGGCAGTGGCCTACCTCCCCACTGGCTGAGGAGGAAGCCGCAGCGCCACCTGCAAGCCGGGTGCGTTTGCTTTGGTGCTGCTAGCATTTTGGTGCTACACAGACTGAGGACAGTTGACTTGAGAAAAATGTAGGCTGCCCAATATTAGCTGCCACCCAGCAAGGTCCCACTGACGAAGAGGAGTGTGCCCGTGGAGAGAGGAAAGTATGGCAATGATTTCAGACCTGTTTCTAGTGTTGGTCACTGAGTCTATTCCAAAAATAAATACACAGCCGAAGCCGGTTTGGCTCTGTGGTAGAGCGTCAGTCTGCGGACTCAAGGGTCCCGGGTTCGATTCCGGCCAACGGCATGTACATTGGTTGCGGGCACATCCCCGGGAGGGGGTGTGCAGGAGGCAGCTGGTCGATGTTTCTCTCTCATTGACGTTTCTAGCTCTCTATCCTTCTCCCTTCCTCTCTGTAAAATATCAATAAAATATCTTTTTAAAAATAAATAAAAATAAAATAAATAAATACACAAAGAGGGAACCAAATGACAGGTTAGTTTCTCTGGATCTAACTGGAACAGCCCCCAAAGCTACTGGTGGCAGCTAGTGAAGCTGGCCCTGGAGAAGGTCCCATGGCTCCAAAGTCATCAGTCTTGCTTACATTTAATCCCCAGGACCCCTCAAAGCCTCCTCCTATCAGCCTTCCCCCGTATGCACACCTGGGGACCAACAAATAGGGTGCCACTGATCTCAAAAGGTCTTGGAGTTAAATAATATAATTTAATTTTAGGGTTCTTTTAAAGAAACATGTGGCTATTTAGCAAATAGTCTCAATAAAATAATGCCTGTGTGAGGCCATGAATTCTGCAAAGAACCTTCATGCACTAATTCTTGATCCTCCAAGTAGACTCCATTATTATTTTCCCATGACAGGGAAGGAAACTGAGGCAACTGGGTGTCTGGGGAGCTTGCCCAAAGTTTAGAACCAGAATTTGACAATCCCACTTAAAACTGCTTCAAAAAAAATAAATACCTTTGGATAAATTTAACCAAGAATGTAAAAAGCCTATACTTGGAACATTATCAGACACTCAAAAAAGAGAATGAAGAGGATACATAAGTGAAAGCATGTACCATGTTCATGGACAGGAATCATTAACATCATTAAAACGGCCATACTACCCAAGGCAATCTACACATTCAATGCAATTCTATCAAGATACCAATGGCATTTATCTCAGAACTCAAACAAATATTCCAAAAATGTAAATGGAACCACAAACGACCCCAAATATGCCACAGCAATCTTGAGAAAGAACAAAACTACCTGATATCAAACGATACTACATGGCCCTGATAATCAAAACAGCATGGTACTAGCCTAAAAGCAGACCTACCGAGCAATGGGACAGAATAGAGAGCCCCAAGTAAACCCACACCATTATGGGCAATTACTATTCAGAGTACAGGCTTTTCTCCTGGGTTTCAGTGTTCAGATGTTGAAGTTCACAGAGATGCCCAATGCAGAGGACCTCAGCTGTGGTCCTCCGACGTCCACATTACTCGCTCAGGGATAATGAGCTTGCGGTCCATCCTTTTTAAGGAAAGCTACAATTTCTCCACCCGCCCTGGGTATGACAGACCTCTCTCTCGCTCTGATGTTCAGCCCACCATTCCTCTGGTCTCTGACAAATAGGCTGCTGCTCAGCAGAAGCCAATTAGAAAGCCGCCGTGGTTTTCTGGGGCTTGCCCCACATTGGGAAGCACCCCCGCACTGCAGGTGAAAAACAAATGGCTTTTTGGTGGTGAGTGAACCCTGTTCTCTCTTTCTGCCTCTTTTTTAACTCCAGGTTCCATTTTCCCAGCTCCTCTCTCCCTCAAATTATTGCTTCCTTTTTCCCTTTTGGCTTTAACCGTCGGGGAAGTAATTTACAACCTGGATGTTGGTCACAGGCAAACGAAAAGAATTACATGCTGCAAGGCTGGGAAGCTTTCCACGCTGAGACAAAAATACTCCGAGGGCCCGGCGAGGTCTGCAGTCCCCGCCTTCTTATTTCTGACACGCTCTGGATACGGACTTATTTTCCTCTCTTGTTCCGGGTATTTTTCCCACCTGTCTTGAAATAGAAGCTGTGTGAGCTTTGATAAATGGCTCGAAATGTTCCCTTGTCTTACAGCAAAGCTTGTGTACCTCTGTGCATCCTTCTGAAATGCCATTCCTCAGTTCCTGCGGAATGCTGCTTGGTGAACCGTATCAGACAGCCCTCCCTTCCGAAGCACCAGGGCTTTTCATTTTGGGGAAATGACACCAACGCTGAAGGGAGCACACGACTCTGCTCTATAGTGAGCGCCCTAATGGGGTTCGGTGCGGAGGTCTGGAGATCTGTTTCTCTTCCTATGTAGCTGGTTTTCAGCTGAATTATTTCAATGATATATCCAAGAGGCAGTTTGCAGGCTAAGACAGAGACGCGCTCCACCTGTGCTGGGCCCTACCCCAAGGCCACTGGAGAGCTGGAACGGACCTGAAATACCACCTGGGCCGGTCGCCTTATTTTATAGACAAGAGCCAGGGCTGCAGGGTCCGAACCTCCAGGGGGGCTGGCCACAGCCCCGGTCTCCGAGTCAGGGGGGCCGATTGGGGTGGACAAGCTGCCTCTCTAACAAATTCCCAGGGGTGCAGGTGCTGCTGGAGGGAGACCACAGCTGGAGATCCACGGGTGACTAGACTGACTCAACACAGGAAATATCAAAGTCAGATCAAGACCCACTAATTCCTCGGATCCTGTGCACCACCTACGACACTAGGACTGAAACCCACGTTCCACGTAGCAAATGTACCTGCTGCTCAGCCCCTCGGCCTTGGCCTCTCCTTGAGAAAACACGCCTTTATTCAGAAAAAGGAGTGGTCATGGGGGAGCCTCTCACTTCCCCCAGGGCTCACATTCCTAACGCAAGCCACATGCGTGGCTGCCTCCTCGGGAGGCGGGAGGCTGTCCCCAGCCCTGAGCCCTGGCCCTGCACCTTCCTGGCGGGGGTCCGTGTCCCACACCCCGAGCGAATGCTGAGCGACCTGCGCTGCTCAGTGCCCGGGGCCAGGCCGCTCCTTCCTGAGTGCGGATGAGACAAAGAGCTGATGCCAGGGGCTCGTCAGTGGGCATGCCACGGGAGGGCCTCTGAGAATTTAGGAGTTCCCGTCTGTGCAACATGAACGCCTGCATGTGTCCAACAAAGAGAAACCACCTGTAGAGCAAAGCCCACTGAGCAAATGGCTATTCCGTCTGAGGAGACCAGAATGTTTCTTGAGGCGGGAGTTGAGGTCACTTTCCCCAAAGGCGGCAGGCCCCTCGGAGCTCTGTCCAGCTGCACACACCTCCCCGCTCTCCCTCCCACCCAGAGAGGATCATGTGGGTGTTTCAGCAGACTCCCCAGAAGGCCAGGTACCAGCCC